GTGTGTGTGTGTGTGTGTGTGTGTGTGTGTGTGTGTGTGTGTGTGTGTGTAGGCAGCGCTCACACAGCCTGGCTGCTCTCGCTGTGGTGTAAGCTGACTCGGCCTGTGGTCTGCCTGGCTTACTCGGTGACACCTAAGGCCAACAACACGGTTCAAAGCCTTAGCGGAAGCATGTCCACACTCTCGCGCACACAAGGAGGAAACTCGAAACCACAAGAATGAAGAGCTGAGCTGCCGTAGTTAATGGGCGAAGCCTTGCTTTACCTCCACAGTGGCATCTGTGGCTGCTGTTCTGGATAAGTGCCGGAACACAACGACCGAGGCCAAAACTTCTCAAAGCTACAGAGATATGTTTCTCCTCAGAAAGTTCAAGCCGCTGAAAAGTTGCGTCATTTATTCTGGAAAAAGTGTGTCGATCGGTGGATGTACGTTTATTTAGCTTGTCACCCGTTTTATTTATAAGATGCAAGAATAAGTAAGAAAGGGGGAAGGGGAGAGGTGTGTGTGTGGTAAGGAGAAGATAAGTGTGCAACCCCCCACAAGCTGCTCCGGGGGAGGGGCAGGGGGTGAATTATTCATCCCYCACAGGGACAAGCTGGTTCTGGGCTCGGAGAGAGGAGAAGAGCCCCGCTGCCTCTGGATGCTCAGCTTTCATAAAAACATAAAAAAGGGAGCTCACAACTAAAGGGGGGTCCGACATCTACAGGGAGGTACCCCGAGCAAAACTAGAGCCCCCAAAGGCTCAAGGGTAGGAGGAGGCGTGGTGAATGGTGTGTGTGGGGGTGAGGGAATGAGGGGAGGAAAAGAAAGAGCAGTGGTTGAAATAAAGCGTTTTTTTGTTTTCTTTTTTTTCTTTTTTGCAGCTTACCTGGCCGTGGGGTCCCATCATGGGGTTGCTGGGGTTGTGTGGGGGGGGCTGTGCGTGAGGGGACTGCTGAGAGCCGGGTGGTCCCTTTAAGAAAGAAAAGCCACATCAGAGAGGGGAGGGGGGCAAAATGGGGTTTTATACCTGAAGGAACAACCCGATTATAGTCAGAGGAAAGAGCAAGACGATGCTGGGGAGTCTGGGGA